GCAGGGGGGTGAGGGACTGGGGGCTGTGTGTGGGGGGAAGCTGTGTGCACAGGGGGGTGAGGGGCTGGAGCTGGGCAGGGGGCTGTGGGTGCAGGGTGGAGGGGGTGAGAGCTGGAGCGGTGCAGAGGGGCTGGGGGCTGTGCGTAGGGGGAGCTGTGCATGCAGGGCGTGGGGCGCAGGCTGCTCCCCATGGCGCTCGGGGTGAATCGTTACAGACAGGGTTCCCCCATCTCCAGGTTCCTCAGCGTGATGGGGAGTTTATGGTTGTGGGGTGGCCAGGCCGGACCCGTGGCTTGTGGGGAGCTGGGGGGTGAACTCCCCATTCCTGGGCATCTCAACCCCTCGGCAGGCTGGGGTGCGTCACCGTCTCTAAGCCGTCTCTCCTTCTCCCCCCTCCCCCCCCCCGCCCCCACAGCGGTTCTGGCTGCTGCTGGTGACGCGGGGGCTGGTGGGGGTGGGGGAGGCCAGCTACTCCACCATCGCCCCCACCATCATCGCCGACCTGTTCGTTAGCGACCAGCGCAGCCGCATGCTGGCCTTCTTCTACTTCGCTATCCCCGTCGGCAGGTGAGGGGCGCTGGGGGGCACAGGGCAGGCCGGGGAGGGGGGTGGGAGTCCCAGTTCACCTCCCCTCCCCCACAGGAGGCGAGGGTCAGTGTAAGGAGGTAGGTGTGTGGGGTGTTGAGGTCAGTGGGGGCGGGGTTGGGGATGTTGAGGGACAGGTAGGGGGCAGGGTAAGGGGTGTTGGGGTCAGAGCGGGCAGTGCGGAGGAGTCGGTGGAAGCAGTGGGGGTGGGATGGGAGCCCAGGGGCAGGGTGGGGGTGGAAGCCTGGAGTTGGGGTCAGTGGGGGTATGGCGTGGGTGTTGGGGCAGGGGGCAGGTTTTGGGGCAGTGGGGGTAAGGGGCGGGTGTTGTGGTGCGGGTCCCAGCTCTAACCTCCCCCTCCCCTGCAGCGGGCTGGGCTACATCGTGGGCTCGAAGGTGAAGGACTTGGCTGATGACTGGCACTGGGCCCTGCGGGTGAGTCTGGGGGGGCTGGGCGGGGGCGGGGTGTCACGGGGGCTGGCTCGGGGCTCTGGAGCCCCCCTGAGTGACATGCTGACAGGACCCTCTTGTCCTGTGACACCCCTCGGGGAACATTATCAGTAGGGGGAGCGTCCTGGGTCTGACCTCAGAGCATCCGGCCCCCCGTTCACCCCATGAGCTCCCCTCAATGAGTCCCCCTGGACGGGGCCGTGGGGCAGGTGGAGGGGCCCTGCCCCCCCACTCCACAGCCAGCCGGGACTCCCCCTCGCCCCCCCCTCCTCCCCCCCCGCCACCAGCCGGGACTCCCAGCCAGCGTGTGACACAGACAGGTTATCAGCCCTCGGGAACCCAGCGTAGAACAGGGCTTCTTAGCACAGACATCAGGGACTTCCAGCTAAGCCCATCTTTGGGGGACCCTGAGTCCTGGACTCTCCCCTCCGAGTCCCAAACAGGAGCCTGCCCAGTTCCAGCTGCCTGGCCCCAGACCTCCTGTTCCCCCCTCCATCCTTTTGTCTCTTTCCCAGGCCAGCAGGTCACCTGGTCGGCACCGACACCTCCCACCTCTGGCTGGTCCTTGCAGAGGATGGGCCCGGCCATCGCCTGCCAGGTGACAGTGTCGGCCGTTCTCTGTCCCAGGCAGTCAGTCGCAGTCACACCTGCCCGCTAGGGGTCGCTGCAACGATCACACACCCTCATCCCACCACCAGACACTTGAGTAACACATGGGGGAAACTGAGGCACGCACAGTATTCAGAGAAAACATGAAGACCATTCCCAGTTTGTCACATTCCCACTTTGTCAGATTCCCAGTTTGTTGTCGGGAGCACAGCGTAGAACAGAGCTTGTCAGCACAGAAAGCAGGAACTGTCAGCAAAGTCCAACTTCGTCGAGCCCGGGTTCTCCCCTCCAGACCAAGGACCCTCCGTCACACCCAGAGTTGCCCCTTCTTGTCCTTTGTCGTCTTTCCCAGGCAGACCTTTGTTCTCCATCCCAAGGTTCCCCCCCACCCCCGCCATCAGTTGCTAAGTTACAAAGTGTCTGATCATTGGCTGGGCCCAGGCAGCTGCTAGGTGACAGTCACACCTGGTCTTAGGCAGGGGTTCTCCTGTGCCCCTTTCCAGACTCCTGTACCCCTTTCAGGAGTCTCTGCAAAATCCAACGCTCTTGCCCCACCATAGAATGAATTGTGCAATACATAGGGGAAACCGAGGCACCGCGAACATTCATACAAAATATTAAGAAAATTCCCCACTTTGTCAGATCTCGCCCACCTTCAAGACTGAACTGAGCGGGGTCACTCTGACCAGTGACCTGGGGAAGTTCAGGGCCCCCTCTCCGGGACAACGTGTCCGCTATCAGGTTGTCACTTCCCTTCACATGGACCACGTCCCTGTCATAATCCTGCAGGATCAGGCTCCCCCTCAGGAGCTTGGCGTTGGCCCCTCTCGTCTGGTGCAGCCGTGGCAGGCGAGTGGTCCGGGTACACTGCAAAGCGCCGCCCAAATAGATCCGGCTGCAGCGTTTTAAGAGCCCACCCCAGGGCCAGGCATTGCTCTGTGGCCCAATAGCCCTGCTCCCGGGGCAGCAGTGTCCTGCTCCGGTACCCGATGGGGGGTCTCTCCCACTTAGCTTCAGCACCGTGCCCAGCTCTGCGTCTGGGGCATCAGTGAATGCCATAAAGGGCTTGTCAGAGTCTGGGTTTCCCAGCACTGGGCCCCTGACCAGAGCTTCCTTCAGCGCCCAGAGAGCCTCCGGTACGGCCTGGTCCAGACCAGCTTGTCTGGCTTCCCCTTCTCGCATAGCTCAGGGCTGGGAGCTGCCAGGGAGATAAAGTGGGGCACAAACCTCCGGTAGAGCCCCCCATCCCAGTAAAGGCCTGGGCCCGTTTCATAGACTATCAGGGTTGGAAGGGACCTCAGGAGGTATCTAGTCCAACCCCCTGCTCAAAGCAGGACCAACCCCAACTAAATCATCCCAGCCAGGGCTTTGTCAAGCCGGGCCTTAAAAACCTCCAAGGAAGGAGACTCCACCACCTCCCTAGGTAACCCATTCCAGTGCTTCACCACCCTCCTAGTGCAATAGTGTTTCCTAATATCCAACCTAGACCACCCCCAGTGCAACTTGAGACCATTACTCCTTGTTCTGTCATCTGCCACCACTGAGAACAGCCTAGATCCATCCTCTTTGGAACCCCCCTTCAGGTAGTTGAAAGCAGCTATCAAATCCCCCCTCATTCTTCTCTTCTGCAGACTAAACAATCCCAGTTCTCTCAGCCTCTCCTCATAAGTCATGTGTTCCAGCCCCTAATCATTTTTGTTGCCCTCCGCTGGACTCTTCCCAATTTTTCCACATCCTTCTTGTAGTGTGGGGCCCAAGACTGGACACAGTACTCCAGATGAGATCTCACCAATGTCGAATAGAGGGGAATAATCACTTCTTAACCTGGTTCTCAGTCTGGGGAGCGGCCAGTCTCTGATCGCTGCCACCTTGGCCGGCTCTGGCTTGAGGCAGCCACTCCCCACCTTGTGGCCCAGGTACGACACCTTGGCCATCCCCACCTTGCACGTCCCAGCTTTTACAGCCAGCCCTGCATCCTGGAGGTGACCCAGCCCCCTCTGCACCTGGGACACCTGGTCCTCCCAGCTCTGGCTAACGACACAGATATTATCCATGATGTATGCCAGGGCAAAACTCTCCACCCCCTCAGTAACTGATCCCCTGATGCTGACAGGTGACCGGCATCCCCTTGAGGCCGAAAGGCAGGACCAGGAGCTCACAGAGCCCAGGGGGTGATAGGAGCAGATTTCGCCCTGGCCTCTGGATCCAAAGGCACCTGCCAGTCGCCCTTGGTAAGATCCATGGTAGTTAGGTAATGCGCCCCCCCTCACACACACACACTTGTCTAGGGTCTCGTCAGGCCTAGGCATGGGGCAGGCATCGGACTTGGTGATGGCACTGAGCTTCCGATAGTCCACACAGTCTCGGATCGACCCGTCTTTCCTGGAGACCAGCACCACAGGAGAGGACCCGGGGCTGGAGGACGGCTGGATCACCCCCAAAGCCAGCATGTCCCCGACCTCTCTCTCCAGGCCCTGGGCTGTGTTCCCAGTGACTCTGAACAGGGAGCACCTGATGGGAGGGTGGGCTCCTGTCCCCACGCCGTGGCCAGCCAGGTTAGTGAGCCCCGGCTGGCTGGAGAACAGCTGCGGGTAGGAACATGGGGTCACGAGTCAGTCTCCTGGCCGCTCTGAATGAAGTCTGGCAGGTCTCCGGGGCAGCATGACTCCGCTCACTCTCACCAGCGCAAGAAGCCTGCTTGGCTTCGGCCTCCCTGGGTCTGACCTCGGAGCGTTCAGCCCCGTTCACCCCATGAGCTCCCCGCAGCGATTGGACTCCTGGGGAAGCCTCACATGCCCCTCAAAGGCCCCCCCCCCACTCCGCAGCCAGCCGGGACTCCCAGCCAGCGTGTGACACAGACAGGTTAGTCGACAGGAACCCAGCATACAACAGGGCTTGTTAGCACAGACATCAGGGACATTCAGCAAAGTCCATCGTGGGGGGGATGCAGGGCCTCACACCCTGCCCCCCCAGACTCCAGCCAGCCCAGCCTCAGACACGCCCATTGCCCCTCCTATGTCCTTTGTCCCTTTCCCGGGCAAAAGGGTCACCTGGTCTGCACCCCTCCCCCAGCTCCACCTTGCTGCAGGCACCGTTGCCAGGTTACGGAGTGCTTCCGCCATTCTCTGGGCAGGCAGCCAGAGGCAGCCCCACCACCTCGGTCTTGTGTAACACACGGGGAAACTGAGGCACACACCGTATTCATGCAAAACCTCAAGAAGAAACCTCCCACTTTGTCACATGCGGCACCACTCTGATCTCTGCCTGCTGGACAGGGGTTGGCTGGTCAGAGAGGGGAGCTGATTCCAGCAAGGGGCCGGCTCCTGGCTCAGGGAAGAGACCCACCAGGGGATCTTCCCCCTTCTCCCATTGGCCACACACGGCCAGGACCAGCTTCTCCCTGTCCCAGTTCGGCTCCATCACGTTG